CACAACTATAATCCCAGCACTTTGGGAGGCCAAGGTGGGCGGATCACCTGAGTTCAGGAGTTTGAGACCAACCTGGCCAACATGGCAAAACCCCATGTCTACTAAGTATACAAAAAATTAGCCAGGTGTGGTGGCAGGTGCCTGTAATCCCAGCTACTCAGGAGGCTGCTGAGACAGGAGAATTGCTTGAACCTGAGAATTGGAGGTTGCAGTGAGCCAAGATTGTGCCACTGCACTCCAGCCTGAGTAACACAGCAAGACTCCATCTCAAATAAATAAAATAAAATAAATAAACAAACAAACTCTGGGATCAGAGTGGAATTTTGGCCATTTTTGCATGCAATCTACCATACTCTCTGTCATGGGTACTTTTTTTTTTTTTAACTCTGTACTTCCTTGTGGAGAAATCACCTCATATCTGTCTTCTAGTTCACTAAATCTCTCTTCAGCTACAGCCAATGTGGTGTTTAACCATGCACTTGAATGTTTAATTTCAATTACTATAGTATTCATTTCTAGAAGTTCCATTTGATTTTTCTCAAATCTATTCTTTTTTCTTTTCTTTTTTTTCCCCTCGGGATGGGGTCTCACTCTGTTGCCCAGGCTGGAGTGCAGTGGTGCGATTTCAGCTCACTGCAACCTCTGCCTCCCAGGTTCAAGCGATTCTCCTGCCTCAGCCACCCAAGTAGCTGAGACTACAGGCATGTGCCATCATGCCCAGTTAATTTCTATATTTTTTGTAGAGACGGGGTTTCACCATGCTGCCCAGGCCGAGTTGAACTCCTGAGCTCAAGCAATCCTCCTGCCTTGGCCTCCCAAAGTGCTGGGATTACAAGCATGAGCCACCGTGCTCGGCCAAATCCATTCTTCTTTCATAGTGTTAGTTCTCTTGTGTTTTTGACGACTTTGATCAGTTCATCGTCTCTATGAGATTGTTCTGGGATCTTTATTCTGCTGTTTGTGTACCTCCCGAGTTTTCATCATGCCTGTTTCCTTCTGTCCACATCAACAGGGCTTTATCAGTGGGAGCTCTACACAGATATCGTTAGTCTAGGATCAATATTTATGTTGATCTCTGAGTTTTAGGATGAAAAGGGTGGAGTTCATTTGAATCTGAAACGTGTGAGCACTGGCCCATAGTAACAAATCCATAGGAGCGATATTTTTCTTTTTTAACATGGGAGAGGTTTTTCTTTTCTTTTGTTTTGTTTGTGTGTGTGTGTGTTTGTTTGTTTTTGTTTTTTTTTAGATGGTGTCTCGTCCTGTCACCCAGGCTGGAGTGCAGTGGCGCGATCTTGGTTCACTGCAGCCTCCGCCTCCCGGGTTCAAACGATTCTCCTGTCTCAGCCTCTTGAGTAACTGGGATTATAGGCTCCTACAATCATGCCTGGCTAATTTTTGTAGTTTTAGTAGAGACGGGGTTTCACCATGTTGGCCAGGCTGGTCTCGAACTCCTGACCTCAAGTGATCCACTTGCCTCGGCCTCCCAAAGTGCTGGGATTACAGGCGTAAGTCACTGTGCCCAGCCTTTTATGGGAGAGTTTTTAAAAAAATTCCACCAGCTCAGGTTGAGACAGGCAAATTTCTTTCTTATCTCTCTGTGCCTAAAAATCTTCTTTCTCAAGCATTTGTTTCGCTGAGGGGATAGCTTGGACAGCCTCATTTTAGTTGGCGACGCTGTTTCAATCCCTACTTTAGTTTTTGTTTGTTTGTTTTTTTGTTTGTGTGTTTTTTTGAGACAAGGTCTCGCTCTGTCACCCAGGCTGTAGTACAGTGGTGCGATCTTGGCTCACTGCAACCTCTGCCTCCTGTATTCAAGTGATTCTCCTGCCTCAGCCTCCCAAGTAGCTGGGACTGCAGGTTTGCACCACCACGCCTGGCTAATTTTTGTATTTTTAGTAGAAACAGGGTTTCACCATGTTGGCCAGGCTGGTCTCGAACTGCTGACCTCAAATGATCTGCTCGCCTCGGCCTCCCAAAGTGTTGGGATTATGAGCGTGAGCCACCGTGCTCAGCCTCTTAATTCTTTTTGAGATAGAGGTCTCATTCTATTGCCCAGGTTGGAACGCAGTGGTACAATCATGGCTCACGGGAGCCTAGAACTCCTGGGCTCAAGCAATCCTCCCATCTCAGCCTCCAGGGGAGCTGGGATTATAGGCCTGAGCCTCTGCTCCCAGCTCCATTCTTTTAAATTAAGAAATAAGTGGCACGTGCTTGTTATCTCAGTACTTTGGGAAGCCAAGGTGGGAGGACTGTTGGAAATTAGAAGTTTGAGAACGGCCAGGCGCCGTGACTCACGCCTGTAATCCCAGCACTTTGGGAGGCCGAGGTGGGCAGATCACGAGGTCAGGAGATCGAGACCATCCTGGCTAACACGGTGAAACCCCGTCTCTACTAAAAATACAAAAAATTAGCCGGGCATGGTGGCGGGCGCCTGTAGTCCCAGCTACTCGGGAGGCTGAGGCAGGAGAATGGCGTGAACCCCGGAGGCAGAGCTTGCTGTGAGCCGAGATTGCACCACTGCACTCCAACCTGGGAGACAGAGTGAGACTCCATCTCAAAAAAAAAAAAAAAAAAAAGTTTGAGACCAGCCTGGGTAATAGAGCAAGACCCCAACTCTGGAATTAAAAAAGAAATACAAAAAACAGTGTGGTTGGTGTTTTGTAACCAGGATGTTTACAGCAGCATGGTTTTCAAGTTATCTAATTTACTACTATACTGCTCAAACCAGGAGTCCAAATACACACACAAATTAAATATATTTTTTTGAGATGGAGTCTCGCTTTGTCACCCAGGATGGAGTGCAGTGGCACAATCATAGCTCACTGCCTCCTCCAATTCCTGGGCCCAAGGGATCCTCTTGCTTCAATCTCCTGAGTAGCTGGGACTATAGGTATGTGCCACCATGGCCATGCCCAGTTATTATTATTATTTTTTAATTAAAGAATTTTTTTTTCTTTTCCTGAGACCGAGTCTTACTCTGTTACCCAGACTGCTGTGCCGATCTCGGCTCACTGAAACCTCCTCTTCTGAGGTTCAGCGATTCTCCTGCCTCAGATTCCTGAGTAGTTGTGATTACAGGCGTGTGCCACCACACCAGGCTCATTTTTGTATTTTTAATAGAGATGGGGTTTCACCATGTTGGCCAGGCTGGTCTCAAACTCCTGACCTCAGGTGATCTGCCCGCCTCAGCCTCCCAAAGTGCCGGCATTACAGGTGTGAGCCACCACACCCGGCAGAAGGTTACTTTTGTAGACGGGGTCTCACTATGTTGCCAGCCTGGTCTCAAACTCCTGGGCTTGAGCAGTCCTCCCATCTGGACCTCATGAAGTGCTGGGATTACCAGCACGAGTGACTGCCTGGCATATATATATATATACACACACACATATATACACACACAATATAAATATATTGTGTGATTCTAAATAATTAGAATCATACATTTCCAGGACCCACAATATGAACAGAAGCTCTGCAGAAAACAGTTTGAAAACCAGGCATCCAGCAGGGAGAACCTGGGCTTGCCGTCACCTGCTTTTTCATTCCCACCCTAGCACCCTCATGCTTCACAACTTGGGGACAAGTTAGTTGTCTTCCGTGAGCCTTCTTTTTCCCTTCTGCAGCGATAAACATACCTGACTTCCCTGGCCACAAGAGGCTTGCCTGGGAACATGCATGGAAAGCTCTGCGATGAGCCCTGTGATGTTTGAAGTGAGAACTCTCCAAACAGCCACTGTGGGTATAATCTGGAAAATTCCCTCAGGTGTAAAGACCCTCTGCCGGGCAAGTGAACAAAGGGCTGACTGGTGACAGTTTCCAGACACTGTGGCAGGCTGTTTAAGCCCACAAGCAAGCATCAGTACTGAGTAGGGTCTAGGGCTGGGCACGGTGGCTCATGCCTGTAATCCCAGCACTTTAGGAGGCCAAGGCAGGAGAATTGCTTAAGGCCAGGAGTTCAAGACCAGTCTGGGCAACATAGCGAGACCCCCACCTCTAAAAAAAAAAAACAAAAAATCAAAACATTAGCTGGGCGTGGTAGCAATGCCTGCAGTCCTAGTTACTCGGGAGGCTGGGGCAGGAGGATCACCTGAGCTCAGGAGGTAGAGGTTGCAGTGAGCTATGATTGCACCACTGCACTCCAGCCTGGGTGACAGACCAAGACCCTATTTCAGAGAAAAAAATAAAAATAAAAAAGAGTAGGGTCTTTCTCAGCAGGACTGGTGTCCTGTCTCACTTCCTACCTGCTCTGGGAGGACAGCCCCAGCTGGCCACACCTGGTGACACCACTCTCTGACCGGCTCCAGGGAGGGACCCCTGGAGGAGGTGCCCACCCCCTCCCTGCTGACTCTGATTTCCAAACAACCCGTTCATTCATCCCCGGGTTGGGGTTGTGGGGGTGGTCGGAGGAGGACCCCCATCATGTCCTGCACCCCCGGGGGGGCGCAGGATGGGGAACCCCTAGCGGTGGCGGCGACCCCGAGGAGGCCCAGGTACAGGAAGAAAGAAAGACATTTCTGTCTCCCTCCTTCTCCGCCTCGGGTTTCGCCCTTCCCTTCCCGGGGACAATCCCGACCTTCACCATGAAGGCCTTTTGCAAACACACACGCACGCACATGTATTTTTGGAAGAAGGGGAAAAATTCCAAGAGAACCTCTGCTGGGTTAAAAATGAAGTGAAGATTATATTAAGAGTGAAAGGCGAGCGGGGCGGCTGGGGCGCAGACAGAGGCCCCTTTCATGCTCCCGGCCGCGCGCCGCGGGCTGCTGCCAACACAAACGCGGGCGGAACCGAACCCGCGGAGCGCCGGCCGCGCTGCCAGGCCCCATCCAGCCCGCCCCGGCTGGCGCCGCTCCGCGTTTCCGCTCTGCTGACGCGCAGGAATCGCGGGGCTGCCGGACGGGGGGCGGGGACCCCTGTGCACCCCGAGCCCCCGGGTGGGGGCCGCACCCCTGCCCGTCTCCCCTCCCTCTGCTCCTGCGCCACCCGTTTTCTTCCAGGGCCTGGCGGATCGCGGGTGCCCAGGCGCTTGGAGGCCGCCTCCTCCGGGAAGCCCGCCCAGGTTCTGCTGCACTCGCACAGGCAATACCGCTGGGCCTTCCTGGCTGCCCCTGTTGGCCCCAATCCCCCCACCCCCTGCAAGGTCTGTGCCTCTCCTGCAGCCCCGCCACCAACTAGGGCTAGAGGAGCTCGCCCCCACCCAAACGTATTGGTGTGATGAAGGAAGGGCCCGTGGTTCTGCCACTCGCCCTGGACACCCAGCGCTGGCTCCCCGTGGAAGTCCCCCTGGACTGAGTAGAGGCTGGGTGGCCTAGTGGTTTGCGACCTGGGGCCTCTGACTTCTATCATGTTGGGAAAGTCATTGAACCTCACTGGTGAAACGGGCACAGTGAAGTCATTTCCCCGAAGTCTCAGGACTGTGTGTAAGGCTCCAGACAGGGGCTGTGGGGTCCTAAGGGCACCTTGGGAACTGCAGGAGCCCATCCTGCCTCCACAAGACACTCACTCCTGGCAGGGTCCCCTCTCCGGGCAGAGCCCAGATTCGCCACCATCATCCCTCTCCATCAGTGGCTCCGTGCCCCTCACAGAGAATTCATCATTCTGTTCAGAATCCCCAGGACTCCCTGGAGGAGGAGGTCCTAGCCCTGCCTCCCCAGTTCCAGGACCTCCTCACGTGGCTCCTACCTACCAGTGCAGAAGCGGCACTAACCCCGGTGGTCAATCAGGGAGCACCACCAAGCTTCTCATTGGTCCAGGGATGAGCAGCGATGCCTCAAGCTAAGCCAATCAAAGCCTTCCCTGGGATTTTCTCAGGAAGTCCGCGGTGAGATTCTGGGTCTCAGTACTGGGAAAGGGTGAGGCTGAGGCTGCCTGCTGTCTTGGGGGCCTCACCCTGCTACCAACAGGAAGCCACACACGGGGAAGCAGAAATGAGACGGAGCCAGTGAGGGCAGGGGACAAAGGTGAGATCCCAGAGAGACAGATGCTGGGACATCATCCTTGGGTACTGGATGCAACAGTGCCTGCAGACGGAGCCGCCCTCGGACAGTCCACAATAGCAGCCAATCCATTCTGTGCGTGTCTGAGCTACTTTAAGTCGGGTTTTTGACTGTTGGAATGAGAGTCCCATCTTGGCTAGGCACCATGGCACAACCAGCTGGGGAGGTGGAGGTAGGAAGATTGCTTGAGGCCAAAAGTCCCAGAGCAGCCTGGGCAACCTATCAAGACGCTGTCTTTACAAAAAGAAAAAACAAAAACAAAAACAAAACTAGCTAGATGTGGTGGTGTGTGCCTGTGGCCCCAGCAACTGGGGAGGCTAAGGTGGGAGGATCGCTTGAGCCCAGGAGGTGGAGGCTGCAGTGAACTACGATGGCACCTCTGTACTCCAGCCTGGGTGACAGAGCAAGACCCTATCTCAAAAAAAAAAAAAAAAAAAGTCCTACCGATAAGGAAACCGAGGCTTCAGTATGAAGTACTGTACCCCATGTCACGCAGGTAGTGGGGGATGCGAATGAACTTGAGCCTGTCATCTGACTCCACCCCCCGCTCTCACCTTCACTCCCCTGCTCTGCCACCTCCCCTGACGACTGACTGTTCCTAACCCAGCACTTGGGCGTCTTCACCATGCAGCGTGACTCAAATGCTTCCTTCTCCTCTCTGCTGATTCAGACCAGCTCAGTGTGTGCCACCTCCCTTAGGTGCTTTCTGCATAAGCCCCTCTCCTGCCCTGGTCCTGCACCTGCCTCAGGTGTTGACGCCTGAGCTCCCGATGCTTAGGGCTGGGTGGCTGCCACCCATCTTGTTACCCAGTGTGCAGAATTGGGTGCTGGAGGCACGAGCCTGCTCTATACCTCTTTTTTAAAGATTTTAAATTATTATTATTGTCCTCCTGAGTAGCTGCGATTGCAGACATGTGCCACCATGCCTGGCTAATTTAGTATTTTTTAGTAGAGACAGGGTTTCTCTATGTTGGTCAGGCTGCTCTCGAACTCCTGACTTCAGGTGATCTGCCCTTCTTGGCCTCCCAAAGTGCTGGGATTACAGGCGTGAGCCACTGCTCCTGGCCAATTACTATTATTTTTTGGGGCAGAGTCTCGGTCTGTTGTGTAGGCTGGAATGCAGTGGCACAGTCTCGGCTCACTTCAACCTCCGCCTCCTGGGTTCAAGCAATTCTCCCTGCCGCAGCCTCCCGAGTAGCTGGGACTACAGGAACCCACCACCACACCCAGCTAATTTTTGTATTTTTTAGTAGAGATGGGGTGTCACCATGTTGGCCAGGTTAGTCTTGAACTCCTGACCTCGGTGATCCATCCAGCTTGTCCTCCCAAAGTGCTGGGATTACAGGTGTGAGCCACCACACCAGACCTCTTTTTAGATCTGCTTTTTTTTTTTTTTTTTTTAAAACAGGATCTTGCTCTGTTGCCCAGACTGGAGTGAAGTGGCACAACTATAGCTCACAGCAGCCTTGAACTCCAGGCTCAAGTGATCCTTCCGCTTCAGCCTCTCCAGTAGCTGAAACTACAGGCACACACCACCACGCCCAGCTAATTTTTAATTTTTTTTTTTTTTTGTAGAGACAGGGTTTCACTATGTTGCCCTGGCTGGTCTAAAATTCCTGGCCTCCAGTGATCCTCTTGCCTCCGCCTCCTGAAGTGCTGGGATTATAGGCTTGATGGGGTCTATAATCAAGATGGGGTCTTCTTGATTATTATTATAATAGAGATGGGGTCTTCACCATGTTGGCCGGGCTGGCCTCGAACTCCTGACCTCAGGCGGTCCACCCACCTCAGCCTCCCAAAGTACTGGGATTACAGGTGTGAGCCACCACGCCTGACCTGAAAATAGGTGTTTAAATAAAAACAGACACAAATGTTCATAGGAGCTTTATAAAAGGCAAAAAGTGGAAACATACCAAATGTTCATCAACAAATGAACAGATAAACAAAAGATGTTGAGTAGTGCCATATAATGCAACATTATTCAGCCATAAAGAGGAATGACAGGCTGGGCGTGGTGGCTCACACCTGTAATTCTAACACTTTGGGAGGCTGAGGCGAGCAGATTGTTTGAGCCCAGGAGTTTGAGAGCAGCCTGGGCAACATCGGGAGACCCTGTCTCTACAAAAAATACAAAAATTAGCCTGGCCTGGTGGCACGTGCCTGTGGTCCCAGCAACTTGGGGGGCTGAGGCAGGAAGATGGCTTGAGTATGGGAAGTCGAGGCTGGAGTCTGCTATGATTGCATCATTGCACTCCAGCCAGGGTGACAGAGCGAGACCCTCTTTTAAAAAAAAGGGGAGGCGCCGGACGCGGTGGCTTATGCCTGCAATCCCAGCACTTTGGGAGGCCAAGGCAGGTGGATCACAAGGCCAGGAGTTTGAGACCAACCTGGCCAGCATGGCAAAACCTTGTCTCTACTAAAAATACAAAAAATTAGCTGGGCGTGGTGGTGGGTGCCTGCAGTCCCAACTACTTGGGAGGCTGAGGCAGGAGAATTGCTTGAACATGGGAGGCGGAGGTTGCAGTGAGCCGAGATCATGCCACTGCGCTCCAGCCTGGATGACAGAGTGAGGCTCTGTCTCAAAAAAAAAGGAATGACAGAATGACATATGGACATGGATGAACCTGGACAGTATTGCGCTAAGTGAAAGAAGCCAGACACAAAAGTCTATGTATTTTATGATTCAATTTTTTTTTTTTTGAAACGGAGTCTGGCTCTGTCAGCCAGGCTAGAGTGCAGTGGTGCAATCTTGGCTCACTGCAATCTTGTCCTCTGGGTTCAAGCGATTCACATGCCTCAACTCCTTGTGCCCTGCCTCAAGGTAGCTGGGATTACGGGCACCCAACACCACACCCAGCTAATTTTTGTATTTTCAGTAGAGACGGGGTTTCACCATGTCGGTCATGCTGGTCTCGAACTCCTGACCTCAGGTGATCCACCTGCCTTGGCCTTCCAAAGTGGTGGGATTACAGGCATGAGACTCTGCATCTGGCCAAATATGATTCCATTTCTATGAACTATAGAAAAGGCAAATCTCGGCCGGGCGCAGTGGCTCATGACTGTAATCCCAACACTTTGTGAGGCAGAGGAGGGAGGATCATTTGAGTTCAGAAGTTCGAGACCACCCTGGCCAACATGATAAAAACCCCATCTATGCTGGGCGCAGTGGCTCACGCCTGTAATCCCAGCATTTTGGGAGGCTGGGGCAGGCAGATCACGAGGTCAGGAGATCAAGACCATCCTGGCTAACACGGTGAAACCCCGTCTCTACTAAAAATACAAAAAAATTAGCCGGGCGTGGTGGTGGGCGCCTGTAGTCCCAGCTACTTGGGGGGCTGAGGCAGGAGAATGGCTTGAACCCGGGAGGCGGAGCTTGCAGTGAACCGAGATTGCACCACTGCACTCCAGCCTGGGCGACAGAGTGAGACTCTGTCTCAAAAAAAAAAAAAAAAAAAAACATTTCTACTACTAATAAAAAATTAGCCGGGCGTGGTGGTGTGTGCCTATAATCCCAGCTGCTTGGGAGAGTGAGGCAGGAGAATTGCTGGAACTCGGGAGGCAGAGGTTGCAGTGAGCCGAGATTGTGCCACTGCACTCCAGCCTGGGCGACAGAGGGAGACTCTGTATCAAAACAACAACAACAACAACAACAACATCAACAACAACAACAACAACAAAAACAACAGACAAATCTGGAGTCAGAAGTGGGGAGTGACTGTTGTGGGGCTCGGGTTTCTTTTTGAGGTGATGAAAATATTCTGGAAGGCAGGGCGCGGTGGCTCAAGCCTGTAATCCCAGCACTTTGGGAGGCCGAGACGGGCGGATCACGAGGTCAGGAGATCGAGACTATCCTGGCTAACACGGTGAAACCCCCGTCTCTACTAAAAATACAAAAAATTAGCCAGGCGCGGTGGCTGGCGCCTGTAGTCCCAGCTACTCGGGAGGCTGAGGCTGGAGAATGGCATGAACCCAGGAGGCGGAGCTTGCAGTGAGCCGAGATCGCGCCACTGCACTCCAGCCTGGGCGACAGAGCGAGACTCTGTCTCAAAAAAAAAAAAAAAAAAGAAAATATTCTGGAATTAGATAGGGTGATAACTGCACTATGCTTAAAAACACATCCCCTGAATTGTATACCTTAAAAGAGTAAAATTCAGGGTATGTGGATATCTCATTTTATTTTTTTATTTGAAACAGAATCTTGCTCTGTTGACCAGGCTGGAATGCAGTGGTGCAAACATGGCTCACTGCAGCCTTAAACTCCTGGTCTCAAATGATCCTCCTGCTTTGGCCTCCCAAAGTGCCAGGATGACAGGTGTGAGCCACTGTGCCCAGCCAGCCAATATCTCAATTAAAAAAAATAGGGAAGAATATATATATATAAAATATTTAAAGATATCATCATGTAAAAATTGCTCACCCTCAGCTGGGCGCAGTGGCTCACGCCTGTAATCCTGGCATTTTGGGAGGCTGAGGCAGGAGGACTGCTTGAGGCCAAAAGTTCGAGACCAGCCTGGACAATGTAGCAAGACCTTGTCTCTCCAAAAAGTAAAATAAAATAAATTAGCCTAGTGTGGTGGTGCACATCTCTAGTCCCAGCTACTTGGAAGACTGAGGTGGGAGGATCACTTGAGCCTGGGAGTTTGAGGCTGCAGTGAGCTGTGATGGCACCACTGCACTTCGGCCTGGGCAACAGAACTAGACTCATTAAAAAAAAAAAAACAGTTGGTTGGGCGCGGTGGTTCACACCTGTAATCCCAGCACTTTGTGAGGCTGAGGCGGGTGGATCACCTGAGGTGGGGAGTTCGAGACCAGCTTGAGAGAAACTCCATCTCCACTAAAAGTACAAAATAATTAGCCAGGCGTGGTGGTGCATGCCTGTATTCCAGCTACTCAGGAAGCTAAGGCAGGAGAATCGCTTAAACCCGGGAGGTGGAGGTTGCGGCGAGCTGAGATCATGCCATTGCACTCCAGCCTGGGCAACAAGAATGAAACTCCGTCTCAAAAAAAAAAAAAAAAAGTCACTCACTTTCCTCGAGGCATGACTAAGAAAATGCTAACAGTGAGAAGGGCCTAGAGTGGGTGAGACACAAGGATGGATGGCAGGGCACTTGTCGAACCTCAGTTTTGAATTGTGTGAATGGATTATATTTTCAAGACATAAGTAAGTGGGTAAAAGGAATGGATCTGGCTCTGGGTGAGAGGAGGAGGCAGGCTTGGAGCACTGTCACATTTGGAAGGAGGCACGGGGCTGTGCTTGGAGGTAGAAGATGGTCATGGAGCCCGTGGGGCCAGTGTCACTGGCACAGAGGAAGAGACATGTCTGCCCCCAAGGACCCAGAGGAGGCAGTGAGGGTGGGTGAGGATTCAGGAGTAGGAGGAGGTGTGAGGGAAGGGGTCTTTGGCCCGTGGGAGGGCTT